AAAACTAAACATTTAAATGAAAACAAAAAAATAAAGCTAAAAACAATTCAAAATATGAAAAGAACAAAAGGTATGAGTATAATAATGATTCTAACATAACACTAAGCCAAACACACTCAATATATATACATTCAATATATATATATATTATTTAATTTCCATTTTGTATGTTGAAGTACTGAAATAACTCAAATTAAATAAAACTAAAACTTAATAAAAAAACCTATATAGACATAATAAAAACTAATACAATTACAACATTACTACAACTGTAACTAAAACTAAAATAGATAACTAATACAAATCAAACTATATTAGTTTATCAGTAATCCTATTAAAAAAATCAAAATAACACTGAGCCAAACACACATGCTAAAATAACAACAACTTCCTGACACACAGTAAGAAATGGTTATAAAAAACTGAAACAGAAGTGAAACATGTAGTAGGAAAGAGGAGAAATAAAAAGCGATACTCATGTCCCTTGCTGGTGTCCCTGCTCAGCTATATACAGGTGCATCTCAATAAATTAGAATGTCTTTGAAAAGTTCATTTATTTCAGTAATTCAACTCAAATTGTGAAACTCGTGTATTAAATAAATTCAATGCACACAGACTGAAGTAGTTTAAGTCTTTGGTTCTTTTAATTGTGATGATTTTGGCTCACATTTAACAAAAACCCACCAATTCACTATCTCAACAAATTAGAATATGGTGACATGCCAATCAGCTAATCAGCTCAAAACACCTGCAAAGGTTTCCTGAGCCTTCAAAATGGTCTCTCAGTTTGGATCACTAGGCTACACAATCATGGGGAAGACTGCTGATCTGACAGTTGTCCAGAAGACAATCATTGACCCCCTTCACAAGGAGGGTAAGCCACAAACATTCATTGCCAAAGAAGCTGGCTGTTCACAGAGTGCTGTATCCAAGCACGTTAACAGAAAGTTGAGTGGAAGGAAAAAGTGTGGAAGAAAAAGATGCACAACCAACCGAGAGAACCGCAGCCTTATGAGGATTGTCAAGCTAAATATATATATATAATTATAGTATAATATGCTACATACTACTATTATTATTGTTGTTGTTGTTGTTGTTCATTTTTCATTCAGAATTTGTCTGCAAACCACCTAACATTCTCTGGGGGATGAAACGGGGCCGAACCCCTTCTGATCACAGCGCTGGGGACTCTTGAGAGGAACCTTCTTTATAAAGATAGCATTATGTGAGGGAGCGGTGAGCGGCCTCTAGTGGTCAGACGCAGCACTGTCTGTCGTTCTCCCGGTGGGCCGGAGTGAAGCGTGACTCCGCGCACTGTAATAGGAAGTTCCCCTCCAAAACTTTTAGGAAACAGTCCAGTCCGACCTCCACCAAATGAACGCCGACACTATAATTATAATTATGGTAAGTCCGACAACGGTCCGTCTTTCAATGACCACTCCTATCGATGTCTCACTGCATAAATATTCATGTTTTCACTGAATGACTAATGAAGTTGAAGAAAATAAAAGCAGTGTTTGTGTTTTGACGCCGCGTCAGACGGTGTGTCAGTCTAGGAGGGATTTAGGCAGCATGCTAAAGACGCTAGTTTACTACTTTGACCAGTTACGGCTTGTTTTAAAATGGGAACACATTAGAGCTTCAGTCAAGTGTTACTTTGTTACACGTATACTCGTGCGCCGCTGTTTGGTTGGATTTAAGGGCTGTGTCTCAACACTCAGTGAGCTGCCTGCCTAGACAACAGTTTTGGGCACTTGTTTTGGTATATCTTTACAAAAGTGTACCGCGTGTACAGTGGTGGTAATACTGTGTGGTACGTTGATGTATGACATGGAAATCATTTTGTCTGGCTCTATCAAGTCATTATATATCCTGCTGAGACGAGGAAAAAAAGTGTAGTCTCATTTTTTACTTTATTTATTTAGTATTTTGGGTTTAAAAATTCTTAATTTGACATTTTACATTTTATTTTTAACCCAGAAAAAAAGAACAGATCATGGCTGTAGGGTGATATTAATTTCAGAAATAAATTTAACAGAACATTTGACTTGATTATTGATTATATACAAAACATTTTACTTGGTTATTGCATGGATGATAGTATATTTTCTATTTTTTTTTTTTTTCCAGTTTACAATAAATGCAATAAATTGCATGTGCAAAATACAATAGTACTGCAGTTACGATAGAATATATGATTACATTTACAGTGACTTTTTAAATGTAATAAAAACAAAAACAACAGATTTGCATAATTTATTCATAATTTAGTAGAAGCTGAGTTTAAAAGTCTTGCTTTTTTTGTAGAAATGGTACATCGCCATCTTGCTTCGATGAAAATTACTTGAATGCATCTGATGTTGTAATTATGACTTCCTAACTTGTAAATACGAACTTCCTGAACAGACTTTCCAATGCTGCAATTCACAGGTTCCCTGCACACTGAGCAGGGTATATAGAAGTTCACTTGATAAAATGTTGATTTGGAACGCCCTACAATATCATCAAATTTAGTAAACACAGGTCTGCAAAAGATAAAAGTATAAGGATAAAAGTTTTGATGATGATGGCGCTAGCCAATAGGTTCTAACTCAGTGTGATGTAATCACATCATTATTCACATGGCGCAGCTGATTGTTTTTTTTTCACATCAGCACCCAATGTGCTTGCTGCTCAACATTCAAATACTTGGCTAGTGCTTGCTGTAGCAGTTGAAGCGTGCTTCAGAAACCCTCCACCTTCCCCAGCTCCACCTGTATAGATTTGCTATGGGGTAATGTCATGTATGTTATATATGGGGGTTATTTCATATGTTATGTACAGCAGCAGTATTTCTTACATGCTCACAGCAGCATGTCTGTGGATGTATTGGCAGTAGCAAGTCTCAGTACTTGCTCTGCCGCAGCAGCTTAGCAGATCTATTCCTCAAGACCATAAACATTAACATAACCATAGTATATTACCATGCCGATCTCTCTGAAAGTTGTCATGACAGAAATATAAATAACCACTTTCACATATATACAGTGCCTTGCGAATGTATTCATACCCCTTCATTTTTTCACATTTTGTTTTGTTGCTGCCTTATGCTAAACTGCTTTAAATTAGTTTTTTTCCACAACAATCTACATTCCATACACCATAATTGTAAAGCAAAAAACAGGTTTTTAACATCTTTGCAAATGTATTAAAAATAAAAAACTAAAATTATTCCATTGCATAAGTATTCATACTGGGACAGTTTAAATTTAGCTCAGGAGCATTCATCTTGCTTGTAGATGTTACTACACTTCAAGTGAAGTTAACCTGTGGCAAATTCAATTGAATGGGTATGATTTGGAAAGGCACACACGTCGTAATAAAAGGTCTAACAGTTGATAATGCATATCAGAGCAAAAACCAAGCACTAAGGTCAAAAGAACTACTAGAAACAGGTTTGCGTCAAGCCACATCTGGGGAAGAGTTCAGAAAAAAAATCTGCTTCATTGAAGGGTCAAAAAAGCATGTAGTCTCTGTTACCCTTAATGGAAGAAGTTTGAAACAACCAGGACTCTTCCTAGAGCTGGCCTCCTGGCCAAACTGAGCAATTGATGGAGAAGGGCTTTGGTTGGAGTGGTGACCAAAAACCTGATGGTCACTCTGGTTGAGCTCCATGATCATATGTGGAGATAGGAGAAATCAACAGAAGGACAAACATCACTGCAACTCTCCAATCCAATCTTTATGGCAGTGTGGCAAGACTCAGTATTTTCTTCAGTTAAAGGAGTCATATGATGCGATTTCAGTTTTTCCTTTCTCTTTGGAGTGTTACAAGCTCTTGGTGCATAAAGAAGATCTGTAAAGTTGCAAAGACTAAAGTCTCAAATAAAAAGAGATATTCTTTATAAAAGTTAAGAGTCAGCCTACCTAAAACGGCTCGTTCTAACACGCCCCCACATACCTACGTCACTATGTGGGAAGATTTGCATAACGCTGCCCAAATGTTCACGCAAAGAAAGAAGGCGTAACTTTTATTCTCGCTGTAGTATTGTTGTTGCTGCCGCCATGTCGTGAAGGCACTGTGTGATTCGTTGTGAAAGCGAAACTACTTTGTTTGGCCTTCCAAAAGAGGATGATATCTGCTTCATCATGCCTGGAGCTGATCCGTGCTGGTTGCTGAGGAAATACTACAACTTTGCGCTGTGGATCGCCGGATAGGCTTTCACCGTGGACGAAGCAGAGTCCAGCCCGGGGTCGTCACATGTGGTTGCCGCAAGCCCGCCAGACACTCCTTCGTCGAATCCGCCGCCTCTGCTCACTCTAGCCCTTCGGCCGTTCCTCACTTTAGCCCCTGGCCTCTGCTCACTTTAGGCCGCCGCCGTTCACTCTAGGCCACCGTGTGTGGAGACGCTGTGTTTCGTTGTGAAAGCGAAACTACTTAGTTTGGCCTTCCAAAAATTGACACGACTAGAAATCAGTGGTTAAGTTGTATTTACAACACTGTTCCAGAACACTTCAACCCAAATATTCAGATGTGTTTTTTATATTTTATATATTTAAAGCGAGTTTTTTGGGCAGTGTAGAGTAGGGCTTGTTGTTTGTCATTTCTCCGATCACAAATCAGAATCAGAAAGCGCTTTATTGCCAAGTATGTTTGCACATACAATGGCGTCATTCAGCCAGGTTTCCGTGAAACACAGAGCAGCAGAGTGTGAAAAATCCTTATTTGTCCAGGAGAGCAGAAGAAGTTTGTCTGTTTTGTTGGGTAGAGAGCGGAGATTCGCCATATGGATGCTCGGCAACGGCGTTCTGAATCCGCGCTTCCTGAGCTTCACCTAGTTCAGAGCATTCAGAACCTCAGACTTGGCAGAAGGTTCACCTTCCAGCAGGACAGTGACCCCAAGCACAGCAAGAGTGGCTTATAGACAACTCTGTGAATGTCCTTGAGTGGCCCAGCCAGAGCCTGGGATTGAACTCCATCAAATATTTCTGGAGAAACCTGAAAATGTGCATCTGCCTCCATCCAACCTGACAGAGCTTGAGAGGTGAAGAATGGCAGATAATTGCCAAATGCTGATGAGCAAAGCTTGTCGCATCAAACAAAAAAAGACTTGAGACTGTAAAGGTGCTTCAGTTAAATATGAATACTTATGCAATGCACTTATTTCAGTTTTTTATTTTTAATAAATTTACGAAATTGTGACTTCTGTTTTTGCTTATGGTGTATGGAGTGTAGAATGATGTGGGGGGAAAAAGTAATTTAAAGAAGTTTATAAGGAAGCAACATAATAAAAATGTGAAAAAAATGAATGCGAATTTAAATGCATTACAGATCGCAAGGCACTGTAATGCATTTAAATACTCCTCACTTGCATTAACAAGACATATAAATTAAAGGAAATCGTAGGTTTTATATTAGGCTTATTTTATTTGTCATTGCGTGAGTTTTGATTGCACATAGGGCTGTTTTCATCACAGTCCTGGTTGACAGGGTCTGCCAGGTATTTTGACCGATTTCCAGCTCATCTGCATGAATAATTGCATGCTAAGAAAACATTAAACCCATACCATTGTATGGTTACTATATCACGCCCTTGTGCTTTGGAGTAATATGGAATATCCCAGTCATAGGAACCCATTCATTATGTATGTAGCAGCTACTTTGATATTTTTGCAGAAAGGAAAGTAATGGTAGGGCTGGCCATACACACACTCAGCTTTTGATATGTGAGCCCTGAGCTCATGAGGACATTGCAGAAGACATTAGTCTAAATCACACTGAGAGCACCCACTCAACACGCTGAGCTCAAACACTAGCATTGAAGAATAACAGCAATAAGTTACTGATACGTATCCTCTGTTGATTTTAAGGGAAAGCTTCTCAGAGAGTGAAGAAGATGCATGGATGCACAAACAGGAACTGAAGGATTCACTGGTTGATATGTACAAAGGTGAGTATGAAGAGAATGCTGTCCTTTGTATTTGACAGAGGGGTTATTGTTTTTGTTTTTTGCTTTATTTGTTACTGATAAGGTAACGTTTTTTTTGGTAATATACATTATTCACAGTTTTGGAGAAAAGTGCATTCTTAAATATTGGCACTAGAGGGCATCCTTATCCTGTCCTATATTCAGGAACAGTGTCTTCAGTGCTTAGTGCTGTGGCATTACTTCATTGTTTTAACCTTAAAGACTGTAATTAGTATTTATAGTCAAATATCAGAGGGTTCTAAGAATTACTAGGTTTTATTAAAGCCTGCATATTACAGACACTACTCTTACTAAAAGTCCTGTGGTATAAGAGGTGAAAAACATGACACTAAATATTCATGTACCATGGAATTTGCAAAGTGGAATATGGTATTAACATAGTACCCTGTCTGAAGAACCTGTTGGTCTTAAACTATGTTTCTTTAGCATCCATATGAATATCCACATAACTTTGTACAATGTTCTATATACTATACATTATTGTTCAAAATTTTTGGGAAGTTTTAGTAAGAATTTTTTTATTAAGTAATACTTTTTTTGGCATATATGCATGAAATTGATCAAAAGTAATAGGAAATGCATTTATAATGTTAAAAAAGATTTCTGTTTTGACATAGTACCCTGTCTGAAGAACCTGTTGGTCTTAAACTATGTTTCTTTAGCATCCATATGAATATCCACATAACTTTGTACAATGTTCTATATACTATACATTATTGTTCAAAATTTTTGGGAAGTTTTAGTAAGATAATTTTTTATTAAGTAATACTTTTTTTGGCATATATGCATGAAATTGATCAAAAGTAACAGGAAATGCATTTATAATGTTAAAAAAGATTTCTGTTTTAAATAATGTTGTTCTTTACATCTTTCTGTTTATCAAAAAATACCGGGGAAAAAAATAATGTTGCATAAATAATCAGCAAAACGTTGATAATAATAATAACAATAGGAACAATGTAATATTAGAATGATTTCTGAAAGATCATGCGACACTGAAGACTGGAGTAATGATGCTGAAAATTCAGCTTTGCATCACAAGAATAAATTACTCTTTAAAATATATTACAACAGAAAAGTTATTTTAAGTTGTTATAATATTTTGTAGTGTTACTGTGGTTACTGTATTTTTGATCAAATAAATGCATCCTTGGTGAATAAAGATACTTCAAAAACATTAAAAAAATCTTACTGACCCCAAATGTTTGAACAATAGTGTGTGTGTATTTACTGTATATATAGAAGGAAATTTTATACCTTTTCCATATATAATAATTGTAACAGTGGTTCATTTGTTGTGAAGTGTCATTGCTGCCTCTTTATGCTTTGCATTGGCATGGTCTAGTCTCCATCTGTATGATCTAATCTATGTATATAAGTTGGAGAGCTTCACCGATCCTCATATGAGCTTCAGTCACTCGCTGTCAAACAGCAACGTGCATTGTAAATATATGCATGAAATTGATCAAAAGTAATAGGAAATGCATTTATAATGTTAAAAAAGATTTCTGTTTTAAATAATGTTGTTCTTTACATCTTTCTGTTTATCAAAAAATACCGGGGAAAAAAATAATGTTGCATAAATAATCAGCAAAACGTTGATAATAATAATAACAATAGGAACAATGTAATATTAGAATGATTTCTGAAAGATCATGCGACACTGAAGACTGGAGTAATGATGCTGAAAATTCAGCTTTGCATCACAAGAATAAATTACTCTTTAAAATATATTACAACAGAAAAGTTATTTTAAGTTGTTATAATATTTTGTAGTGTTACTGTGGTTAATGTATTTTTTATCAAATAAATGCATCCTTGGTGAATAAAGATACTTCAAAAACATTAAAAAAATCTTACTGACCCCAAATGTTTGAACAATAGTGTGTGTATTTACTGTATATATAGAAGGAAATTTTATACCTTTTCCATATATAATAATTGTAACAGTGGTTCATTTGTTGTGAAGTGTCATTACTGCCTCTTTATGCTTTGCATTGGCATGGTCTAGTCTCCATCTGTATGATCTAATCTATGAATATAAGTTGGAGAGCTTCACCGATCCTCATATGAGCTTCAGTCACTCGCTGTCAAACAGCAACGTGCATTGTAAAGGCCATCGATGAGGTTTGATCCTTCATAGCATGACCTCTGCGTTGCGTGTGTTTGTTTTTTTCGGAGTTAATGCCAGGTTAGCTGTTTCTCTGATGTGCTGACACATTCTGCAGTAGAAGAGCCCAACCCAAAGCGTTACATCCTAGTGATGGGTGGAGGCCAAGACCTGGAACAGGATCTACTTAGCATGTATCCTGATATCTTAGACGCCAAGCGTGTGTGTAAGTGCGCCTCTGGGTATATGGCTGCATGCCTGATTTTTATGGGTTTGTGTGTTTTTGGTGCACAGACATTGTGTCTGCCACTCACGCGTACAACTTATGTTTTACAATCATTAATATTATCTGTAGGGGTTTTTTTGTGTGAAGTTTTGCATTGCAGTCACCTGTATTAAAGCCATCTCCTTCCTTTTCGGTGGCAGATAAGCATGAAGCACTGATCCCACCCAATTCTCTCTTTAATCAGCTTGAATGTTTGTTTAGTTTAAGGCTATTATCCTTTACCACAGATTAAGAGTGTGCAGCTATCGGGATCCAAGTGGCAGTTAGCCGACATCAACATAACAATGCGCATGTTCCTCTAAAACGACAAGCACATTGCTGATTCAATTCTGAGAGTAAGGTGTTTTGAACATGCATATAAGGATTGATTTGCAATATCAGCACTGTTACAGCACATTTGTGAGCGTTGTATTGCTATAAAAGAGCAGTTCTGTAAACAAAAAAATTATATCGGGACACAGTGCAGTAAGATTTATTTTTTTATTTTTTTGCTCTGCCAATGAAAGTATGTTGTAAATCATAGAACTTTAATTGCATTTAGTTAACACAGACAATTGGATAAATACAAAAAGGAAAGTAAATTCAATACTGTTTGAGTAAATACGTGTCAATCAAATTAGTGAACCAGAATTGTTTTATAATTGTCATTAAATAGGATATTGGTTTGTAAAACTGATGCTTCTCTAGAAGGACTATCAGATTCAGTTATTACACTTTTGAATATGCAGTGCAATCAAAAATAATTATTCATTTGTGGAAGTATCATAACATTTCTTTGATAAGTTAAAATTGATATAATTTCATTAAATTAGCTGTTATGTAGCAGTCTTCACATGCTTTTTGTTAATTGTATTTTTCTTTATCATATAGTTTAAAATGTTTTAAACTGGCTCAATGTTTTTTTCACTTTGTACATTATTTGGATATGTGAGATGATTATAGTAAGAGTTAGCTTATATATATATCTGGCATTAGACATTTTTTTAGCCTATATTTATTTGGCATTAGACATTTTTTGATTTTTCTTTTATGTCTATGCCAGCCTGGACAATAAAAAAAAAAAACTTTGGTGCTGCTTTGTCAAATCCACAACAGCATTGGTTTGTTTTTTTGTTTATTTATTGTGAATTTTGAGTATATAGTGTGCAAAACCAGTGGACAATTAACAAAAAAAAAATCTACCAACAGCATTGGATTGTTGGACTTAATTGGTATTTTTTGTGTGAATTTTGACTATATAATGTGCAAAGTAAGTATTTGCATTTTAGCCTATTTGCCATGATTATAGTGAAAAATACAACTATATAGCAACATTTGATCAGTCATCTACCACTGTTCTCTTTAAATGTCAATATCGTCCATTGAATATCCCATATTGGTAGTTACTACACTTTCCAATTATTTTTCAAAGTGGCACAGAACAGCCAAATAAGGGTGACCGCACATCTTTGAACCCAAATCGAATTTCACGCCTGTGAGACTGCGTTTCTCTTGCGTCTGTTTCCCTGCTGATTTTATTTGTCTGACGTGGTTTGGGATAAGCAGACTGCTGTAGGCTGGGTCGTGTTATTACAACTGAGACGGTGGATTGTTTTCTTGCATGGGTAAACTGTCCTTTTGCAGTCCAAATTCAAAGCACACACACCAAGTCCATCATAACAAACATGCTGTTTCCTATGGAGCTGAATTGGCCTTCCTGACAAGAGCAGAAATAGGGCTACAGTCTCAACAAGCTTTGTTCTTGGCAGGTGGATCGACCTTTGACATAACCTGTCACACCCCCCTCCCCCTGTGTCGGCCGTCCGGTCAGGAAACGTAAACGAACTGTTTGGTCCCATCAGCTCAGCTCCTCTTACGGCAATAAGGTGTGGTCCTGCTCTGCTTTTCCGACAGCCACCCACCCTGATATCACGTCTCACTCACTCTCCGCCGTGCTTGGCTTCACGGAGAGCAGGAGGCGCGTTGGCGACCCCGTCGGCTTCCTTGTGGGTCCCATTGAAGTTCAAAATCCCTAGAATGGAGTGCCGTGTGGCCTAACAGGCTTGTCTGCTCCCTAAGTGGGTGGTCCGCCAGTGACAGAGGGATTCCTCAGGGCTCTGTCCTCCTCTTTTGTGTCTCTGTGTTGGTTTAAGGAATAGACCTAGGTTGGGCACTGCTTAACTGTGGAAGCCTGGTTACTGTGATCTGAAACCAAACAAACCTAGCAGAAAGGCCAGCGCACTCACAAACATACAAAGACTCAAGCTATAAAACCCAACGAGAGGTTGGCATCTCTTGAAAGAATCTCAAAATGAAGATTTTTTTTTTGATGTTGAGAATGAAGTTTGGGTCAACCTTATGAAAACATTTTCAGGTCATATGGGGGCAGATTTTGTAAGATTCATCAATTTGTGTGTATTTGTATTACTTTTATACAGTCTCTTGAAGATTGTATCTCTCTTACATAAGTCAAAACAGTTTAAACTCTTATAGAAACTATTGAAATCATTATAAAAATAGTTTAAAAGTTTAGTTTTGTGTTATAGTTTTGTGTTTTGCTAACTAAGAATCCAGATATGAAGATTG